CTTACATAACAACTTTACTGTTATTCCTCAGAAATCGTATATCACTATAATCACACACTTTCTTCGCGAAATGTCCATAATCTAACGATGAGCGTTCAGATTTCTTTGCAAGATGTTGAGAGGATTTAACAAGAATATGATTACCATACCAATTGAAACCAGCAATTACAAAACTCAACACAAATGATACCTGAAATTTTGTGTTGTTTATTGATTTTATATCAAATACATTAATACAAAACATAAAATTACAAACATATTTCAAAATTTCATCGATTCAACTTTTTCGTCTTCATTCCATCTGATTTCTATCAAGTCTTCATTAAATGATATGTATAACTTTCCCATCTTCTTTTAACAAAAACCTCCATTATTCATAACACACAAATGCATCAAATTCCATGCTCACTGGCTATTAACTCTTTTCAAAACAACAAATATGAAACAAAAATATAACGCTGAATAAAACTAAACCAATTTACCCATAAACCTCCTAACCGCCATGCATACGGTAATGAGAAACAACCAGCATTGAACATACTCTTCGAAAGTGTTAATACAGCTCGATGTGCTCTTTAATATAAGGCCAAAACGATTATTTTATGCAGTAAGAAACCATTCAGAAAANTATTTTAACTTCATCGCTTCTCACTTGTAATTCAATAATATTGTTCGAAACAAATACTACCTGACACATTTTTTAACTAGTGACCTTGATTTAATCATATTTATCACAACATTGATAATATATTACCAACATCGTGGTTAATGTCACTGATGACATAATCTGAGCTATTACGAATAATGACACTAATTCTGGTGATAACAAAAATCACGAAACTAACGAGATCACATCTCCCTTGCGTGTTTCCCTCTGCACTAACGAACGCCCGTCATTAATACTGCTTGTTTCGTCAATCATTACCTTCAAATTCGTCAAAAGTTATGAATGACATTAATGGATTACTCAACAATAATGCAACATTTATCAAATCAGCACGGTAGCACAACAAATCATACCAACAAAAACAACTCTTCAGCATGCAACAATATCGGTTCGTTGCCTAAATAAACGACAATATCAATCGAATGGTACCAAACAGCACTGCGAATTATCATAATTAATATATTACTCAGTTTTACTTAAAAAATCGTTACAAACAAAATGCTCACACACAAGCAAACGTCTGTTATTTTTAACTGACTTACAATTTGTTCAAATATTGAAGAAAGAAACTTATACAACAGAAACATCCGTAACTCCNAATCTGTGTTAAAGAGAAGGAAGTTTGAAAAATGAAACCATGTCAACGCATACAAAACAGACACAGCGCTAAATCGAATCAGAATTTCGATTTGAGTATTCATCAATAAAATAAACATCAAAAGCAGATGATTACAAAATTTTCGAGTCGTAATCACATCATGAAAGCATAAATTCGTCAATAACGACATATTTAAATGATCGCATCAGCACAAAACACATCTGTGTACGCATTTTATAATGGGAACGACGTTGTTCTCCATGGGCAAGTTTGAATCATGCAGCAGTATTGATTCAATTATCATTCTCAGTGCTTTAAACATCGTCATGCAATCAATCAATAACGCTGTTTTTATACTATAATGTTGTTCACAATGAAGATGATGTCTTAATCATTTTTAAAGGTATGCGTAATCTAGTGATTTTAATCAACCTTAATAAGATATGACTGCTAATCCATCGTGAATGACTATGATGATGCATAGAGTTCGAATGCCATTTCAGTAGCACTAGTAAATCAATATTGGGAAGAGTATTACTTCATTAACAACAATACTTACTGCATCAACTGATATCATGAGTAATAAAACACACTGAATAATGAAAAAAAGCGAATATAAATTAACTATTCAGTGAATTTTGAAAAATGACAACATCAGTTGAAAATATGATTCATTGGTAAGTGATTGTGAATATCAAACATTTGTGCGATGTAATATTTCATTGAGACGAATGGACATCAAGTGGAGAGGACTAAATTGATGTATTGAGAAATATGATGAAAGTTATTATTTAGATGGATCGAGTTTTCGTGATGAATGATGCGAATTATTTTGGGTTTTTTGCACCAACTAACGAACTATGCATGTGTCGACTATTTTTCAGTGAAGGGATTGAAAAGGTTTTCATGTCAAGTAGATTTTTCCATGTAACTGAATTGGAGAATTTTTTGACATATCGCTTGTGTGTCTGTAGACAGCTGCGTTTGTGTTGTGAATGTGTCGATGACACAGTTCCATTATTCCTCTTCCAGCTGAACCATTCTTTGCCGAAACCTTCCCGCATACCCTTCGACAGTGCTAGGTCTTCGACACCCTTGCAACCGTTCCACTGTCCTATTAAAAGAAGAAAAATTATCACTTATAATTTAACTCAAATGAACGTAAGTACAGATGATTTTTAAAGAATTTTTAGGTGACATATTGAAATTAAATTCATTTTATAGGTTAACTGTTTTTTTAATTTCTAAAGAGAATGCCAAGCTCACGATCAGTGCAGCTTTCACCATCATTTAAAATAAACAAAGAAAAAATGTGGCAGCCTCGTTTACAGTTTTTCCATTCTTGTTAACTTTATGATTCATTTGAGTATAAATGAAATATTTAGCATGAAGATTCACCGGAAGTCCTTTTCTGCTGGGGAGCGGAATTATTTTCCAGACATTAAGAAAGAGCACATAAGCTTCTTATCGATCATATTTTCCTCACTCTTCTTATTAATTGCATTCGGTATCGAGTAAAAATTTTGATGGTTTAATTGAAGTTATAGTCACTCGAGCGAACAAATTTTGCGCGTGAAGAAGTGACTTTAATGGTAGGCAACTGTTCGATATGAATAAAACAATATTTGATCCTAACTAAATGAACTGAGTAAACGAATAAACAATGTTTTATAAGAATTTATTGACTGTAGAGGTATTCTGCAAAAGTCTTTTATAATTCTATAAATCAGTCAAATTTTAAAGACATAAAATGAGATGATACGACGATTATGTTGAAATATTTTGGGAACATCAATTTACAGAATTTATTGCCTGACATCAATCAATGTTTGTCAAATAACAATAATGCACAGTGGAGGTACAAATCATCTAACAATCAAATAGTGATAACGATTAGAAATGAATAAATGAAAAATAAACATAAAATGACATTTGTCATGAAACGAGGATAGAGTTAATTTTCTAATTGTGAGTTTCGAGCTAGTAAGTTGTGGTCGAATAATGAACGTCATATATTCCGAAAAAATATTTTAACTGATTCTTAAGAAATGCCGGTAAGAAATATTTAAGAACAAAAATGTCGGTAAATTGCGGTAAGAAAATATTTCTTGATGAAATTCAACGCGAACTCAGTTCATTTAGTTAGGATCA